GAATCCCAGCTCACAGTCTGAATCCCAGCTCACAGTCTGAATCCCAGTTCACAGTCTGAATCCCAGTTCCAGCCCAACCCAGCCCCAGCCAACTACTCTTCAAAGCTCTGCTGCTCCAGGCCATGGGTGAAGAAGGGTTATTTTCGGATTGGCAGGCCGTATCTAGTGGGGTACTATAATGGTTGGGTCCCAGCCATTCACAATCTACATGAATCAAATGTAATATTTCCAAGTTTACAGATGATACAGAACTAAATGGAAATGTGAAATGTGAGAAGGATATGAAGATACTTCAATGAGTTTTAGAGAGGTTAAATGAGTAGATAGAAATTTGGAAGATGGCATACAGTGTAGAGAAACATGACTTCAGTATGAAAAACAGAAATACTGAGTATTTCTTAAATTGTTAGAGCTGTGAGATGTTGAACCTCCCTCTTGGGAAGAGAAAGGGGAGAGAAAAGATGCAAAAATTAAGAAGCTTAAATGGTATTTGGATCTTTATTACAAGAGGATTTGTGTATAGCAGTAAAGATGTCTTACTGCCATTATATAGTCTCTTGGTGAGACCACAGCTGGGGATTTGTGTGTAGATTTAGTTGCCTGAGTCAATGCTTCCAAGCTTCTAAGGCGCTTCCAAGGCACTTCCTTGAAGTTCTCATATGCATCAGTTAGAGGAAAGGGTGGCATTTTGAAAATTAATAATCAGATGTGTTTGTTTTGTGTACGTGAGACTCAGCAATTTAAATTTGTATATTCTTTGTTCATAGTGCTGAGATGAAATCAATTTTTAAAAAGATCATTGTTAAAAGTCAGTCTTGGGTAGATAAACTATCTAATTGCTATCTGAAAACTGGCCCTTCTTAGCATTGATTGCAGTTGCCTTTGTTTATAATGAACTGGTATCACTTCTGTGATCTCCTGGTGGATGCACAAATAGTGCAGTGTGCAGTTATGCTCCTGATTGTAATAAACCTTAATCTGAGAAATCCAGGCTTTTTATTCCAGATAATGGCAAGGAACTCTCTTCGCTTATTTCCAACATGCAGCAAAATATTTGAATTAGAGCAGTAGCTCTCAAAAGTTTGGTTTGCAGAACAGTTAAGGAGAGTAAAAATCCCTGAGTCAGTGTACCAATCTGTTTTCACCAGGCCCCACCAAAAGAAATCCACAATGAATGAAAAGAATGGCACTGCTTATTGATGAAATAGCAGTGCAGTGATGTCTGGTTCCATACTGGGCGGCTTCATTCCAGCTCCAGCTCCAGCTCCAGCTCCAGGCACCACGTTTAGCTGGATCATCATTGTTTTAAAATCTAATCACACTGACTGGAAATTGTAACATAAATTTTGTTTCATTGTTGCTTGGGTTTATTACAACTTGTGCTACGCTCTGAAGAGCCTGCCTGGTTGTGTGAAGCGTATGTGAATGTGGGCTCTGCTCTGTCCCCTCATATGGTTTTGACTGCAGGGTTGTGCATCAGGGACTTCCATTTTGAAGCAGCCCCTGTACCACTGGGAGGACAATATGAGAAACCCTGGGTTAAAGAACGAATATTATGGATATTTCCTGAATTGTAAGAGAACATGATCAACCTGCAGAAATATTTTTTAAAATTTCAAGTTTTAACCTTCATCTCCAGTTGCAATAGAGATCACATTTGGCACAAGTTTGCAAATAAACATCAATGCTGTTCTTGTTTTCTTCATCTTTTGCTCAGAACTTAGTTTCTTAAACCTGCATTTGATCAAAAAGGTGTGATCAGGGACTTAGAATGAATATTGTTTCCACTTTGCACCTTCTAAACTTAAACTCATCAAAAACTCTGCTGAACAACTTGCACCAAGTCCTAGTCATCCATCACTCTGTGCTCACTGACCTACATTGGCTACCAGTTAAGCAACACTAATTGTGGAAAAAGAAGCTCATCCTTGTTTTCAAATGCCTCCAACATCTCGTGCCTTCCTATCTCTAATATCCTCCAACCCCACAACCCATCTCCTATAAGATGCCTTCTCCTATAATTCTGGTCTCTTGTACATCCCCAGTTTTCATTGCATTGCCATTAGCAAGTGTGCCTACAACTGCAAAGCTGTAAACTCTGGAATTCTGTTTCTAAACCTCTTGACTATCTCACGTTTGCAATGCTTCTTAAAACCTACACTTCGTCCACATCTTTTGTACCTGTTTTAAATTTTGTTATGTGTGCTGTTGTTAAGTTTTACTTCATAACATTTCTGATTAAGTCCTTTTGGACATCTTATTGTGTTAGAAGTCCTATATAAATAATGAAGTTGATTTATTAAATATGAAGGTAACCTGGAGTTCTTTTTAGAATTATACAAGTTTTCTCTGGTGGTTGCAGATGCTCATGTAATACCTTTATGAATGTTATCTTATCATGTAACAGGAAAATGGTTTCTAACAGTGCCTTTGTGTCTGCAGCTATCATCAGCAATTGGAGGGCTGTGGAAAGGAGCAATGGAATGAGCTCCGGCAGGCTTACTACAATCTTGTGCTGCTACTGGTCAATGCTGTCCGTCAGTTTAACTCTGACAAAGACTGGTAGGTTCTCAAATCTACCCGATACTAAAACCCAATAATGTTTTTGTTTTTATTCATTTTCCCATGTAGTTCAGAGCTAGCCAATTGGCCTTTTGGAGAATGTCAGAGCAGAGAGTGGTACTTTTCTGCATGATACTTTTTTCTGATCAGCTCTTCATCCTTTACTTGCTGTTGAATTTTCCTGTTTTCAGTGTTGGAATAAGTTAGTGATGCAGCTGTTGTTTGTGGTGTCTTCATTGTCTTGGCTCAAACATTTTTACGTGTTTGTGGATCTTTGGCTGCCACACCTCTGGATTTAGGAAATATACTGTGTAAACATGGATCTTCAATTCCTGGAATTTGATGACCTGCAAACCCCTTTTCTGCGATTTCCTTGCTTCCTTTCCAGACACTGTTTCAAAATGTTAGTTGGATCCGAATGATGCATGTTTTCTGAAAAGTATGCACTTAACCATAGTTGCAAAATCTGCAGAACTAGGTGATTTGTTGTTTAGTACATTACCAGCTCATTACCAATGTCAAATAGCACAAATCAGAAAAAAAGACCAGTATAATCTTTACCATTAAATTCCTTAAATCTTTCAAAGATCATTTGAAATTGACAATTCTGCTACATACAGATCTTACAATTTGTGCATCTGTCATCATCTCATTTCAATCTCGGCATAGCAACAGGCCATTGACCCGTGGTCTAGTGGCCATCATGGCCACCTTTTCTTTTTATTCATTTACAGGATGTGGATGTCACTGTCTAGACCAGCATTTATTGCCCAGAGGGCAGTTGAGAGTCAGCCATATTGCTCTGGGTCTGGAGCCATTTGTAGGTTAGACTGGATAAATTGACAGATTTCCTTTTCTAAAGTACATTAGTGAACAGGGTGCGCTTTTTTGTGAAAATCGGCAACGGTTGGATCGTTAGACTCTTTAATTCCAGATTTTTTTTATTGAATTCAAATTGCACCATCTGCCATGGCAGGATTTGAACCTGGATCCCCAGAACATTACCTGGGTCTCTGGATTAATAGTCTAGTGATAATACCACGAGGCCATTACCACCTATTTCATCTGCAAACATTTCTTGATTTCTCCTTTATGTATCTATCTAGCATCGCCTTAAAAGCATCCATATTTACATCGCTTACTTCATATGGCAACAGCTTCCACAATGCAACATGAATAAAGTGGTCCCTCCAATGCTCTTTTTTGGATGTTTCGTCACTATCTATCTTAGGTTAATAGCAACTTCCCCACATGGTAGAAACCTCCTCTCTACATTTAGCCTCTGAAACCCTTTCATAATTCTATCAGGTCACCTCTCAGTCATATCTTGTGTGGAGAATAGAGGTTGGGCCTATTTAATCTTTGCTGGCAATCATAACCTCTCAGTTCTTGCATCTTAAGTATCTCGTTGACCACTATTTGTGACATTCTTGGTTTCTATATTTGTCTTGCAAAACATCTTACATGTACTCTCTGGACACTGCGAACAACGAGCTCTTCAAAGCTAGGTTGGCTGAAGGAGAGACAACCCTTGGCAGGTTCAATTTACTGACTAACTGAAGAACCTGAGAGTTTGTATCTCGAGGACTTTGGATGGAGAGGAGAAAATTCCTGGCACACTACTTGTAATTGTAATGCACTAAAACAATTTAAGATTACTAAGGAGGAGATATTAGATGTTTTAGTGGGCATAAAGGTGCATAAATCCCCAGGGCCTGATGAGATGTATCCCAGCTACTATGGGAGGCAAGGGAGGAGATTGCACTGGTGGAGATATTTAATACTTCGCTGGCCACAGGTGAAGTGTCAGATGGCTGGAGGATGGCTACTGTGGCTCCTTTGTTTAAGAAGGGCAGCAGGGATAGGCCAGATAATTACAGAGCAGTCAGTCTCATGCTAGTGGTAGAGAAATTACTAGAAAAAATTCTGAGAGATAGGATTAATTAATACTTGGAAAGGCAGGAATTGATCATTGATAGCCATCATGGATTTGTTAAAAGGAGATCCTGTCTGACTAATTTCATTGTGTTGTTTGAAAAGGTGACTAAATATATTGATGAGGGTAGGGCAGTTGATGTGGTTGACATGGACTTCAGCAAAACCTTGAACAAGGTCCCACATGGAAAGCTGGCCCAAACAGTAAGAGCCCAAGTGTTTCCAGAAGGTATTGAGGGCAATGATAATATGCTGTGCTGAAGGGTATGGCACACTAGTCCAAGCAAGGAACTGCCAAGGAAGGAGCAACACATGTGAAGTGGCAAACAGGAAAAAACCTGCTGGATTATCAGGTTTGTCCCACTGGTGTCTGGAACATTTTGGCTAGACACACAACTGCAGCATTATTTGCTCAGCAAGTGTTGGGTTCCAAAGTCAGGAGTGGATTTATCATTTTGTGTGTGTTGGAATGTTGTGTGGATCGACAATATTGGGAAGTTGTTGTCGCAGCTTCTGTGATGTGCAGGACTGTGGATTGTGCTATGGACCAGACCAAACCCCCTCAAAACCTATCAAGGCGATAGCCTAGAATCTAACATTTTATCTTACTGAGAGGCAAGTAAGAGGTGCTGCGTTCTAGTGTGATTTGATTGGTCAAACTACTATTCTTACATGACAGTTCAAATGCAAAAAAAAATTAGCATCGGAACGTTTTTCCTGACCGGGGACAAAGACTCAGGAGGCAGTCAGGATTCAGACAAGTGGAAGATGTTTATTCGAGCCGAAACCGGTTTATGCAGGGAGAGGGCCAAAGGATCTCCTACCCTCCCTCGACCTCTTCATCTCCAACTGCCGTCGAGACATCAATCGCCTCAACCTCTCCACCCCTCTCACCCACTCCAACCTCTCCCCTGCAGAACGTGCAGCCCTCCGCTCCAATCCCAACCTCACCATAAAACCCGCGGACAAGGGAGGCGCAGTTGTAGTATGGCGCACTGACCTCTACATCGCCGAGGCCAGACGCCAACTCTCCGACACCACCTCCTACCGCCCCCTTGATCATGACCCCACCCCTGAGCACCAAACCATCATCTCCCAAACCATCCACAACCTCATCACCTCAGGTGACCTCCCATCCACGGCCTCCAACCTCATCGTTCCCCAACCTCGCACTGCCCGCTTCTGTCTCCTTCCCAAAATCCACAAACCTGAATGCCCTGGTCGACCCATTGTCTCCGCCTGCTCCTGCCCCACCGAACTGATCTCCAACTATCTAGACTCCATTTTCTCCCCCTTGGTCCAGGAACTACCTACCTATGTCCGTGACACCACCCACGCCCTCCACCTCCTCCAGAACTTCCAATTCCCCGGTCCCCAACACCTCATCTTTACCATGGACGTCCAGTCCCTCTACACCTGCATTCCCCATGCAGATGGCCTTAAGGCCCTCCGCTTCTTCCTGTCCCGCAGGCCCGACCAGTCCCCCTCCACTGACACCCTCATCCGCTTAGCCGAACTCGTCCTCACACTCAACAACTTCTCTTTCAATTCCTCCCACTTCCTGCAGACAAAGGGGGTAGCCATGGGTACCCGCATGGGCCCAAGCTACGCCTGCCTCTTTGTAGGTTACGTGGAACAATCCCTCTTCCGTACCTACACTGGCCCTAAACCCCACCTCTTCCTCCGTTACATTGATGACTGTATCGGCGCCGCCTCGTGCTCCCACGAGGAGCTCGAACAGTTCATACACTTCACTAACACCTTCCACCCCAACCTTAAGTTTACCTGGACCATCTCTAACACCTCTCTCCCCTTCCTGGACCCCACTGTCTCCATATCGGGCAACCACCTAGAAACCGATATTCATTTCAAGCCCACCGACTCCCACAGCTACCTAGAATACTCCTCCTCCCACCCACCTTCCTGCAAAAATGCTATCCCCTATTCCCAATTCCTTCGCCTCCGCCGCATCTGCTCCCAGGATGAGGCATTCCACTCCCGTACATCTCAGTTGTCCTCGTTTTTCAAGGACCGTAACTTCCCCTCCTCGGTGGTCGAGAACGCCCTCAACCGTGTCTCCCACATCTCCCGCACCTCATCCCTCACACCCCGTCCACGCAATAAGAACCAAAAAAGAATCCCCCTCGTCCTCACGTACCACCCCACCAACCTCCGGATCCAACGCATCATCCTCCGACACTTCCGCCATCTGCAATCCGACCCCACCACCAAAGACATCTTTCCCTCCCCACCCTTATCTGCTTTCCGGAGGGACAACTCTCTCCGTGACTCCCTTGTCCGCTCCACACTCCCCTCCAGCTCCACCACACCCGGCACTTTTCCTTGCAACCGCAGGAAGTGCTACACCTGCCCCCATACCTCCTCCCTCACCCCCATCCCAGGCCCCAAGAAGACTTTCCACATCAAGCAGATGTTCACCTGCACATCTGCCAATGTGGTATACTGCATCC